CCTAGTCACACAGGTCACACAGTCACACAGTGACTGCAGTTCCCGATCTCTAATAACATGGTTCCTGCCTGCCTTTTCCTGCCATTGTCACTCAAAGTCTTCCCAGCCTGCAGAAGAGGACAAGCACTTCAGACTTCATAGTTACCACTTTTTCTGTCCCTAAACTCTGTACCCATCCCGGGAAGAACCCCTAGCTCTGCATCGGCCGGGGGTCTAGGAGCGAGGGACAAACTCAACAGGTTTGGGAACAAATGCAACAGATGTGACTTCAGGCCAATTCCATGTTTCTCTACCCTCTTGCACAGAGGCTGGAGGCAGAAAAAAACTTGAAGCTGGAAGGAGAGGAGCTTTGCAGTGACACGCTGCTCAGGAACCTACCCAGCTGCAGTGTGAGCCCTGAAACTCCTTCACAGAAGAGTAATGAAATTTTCCTGTCCGGGCACGGCTATTTGGCAAAAGGCAAGTCCTGACCCCAGGTAAGATGTTTTACCCCTCTCTGTAGAGCCCTCGGCTATGGTACCCACTCCAATGTGCTTGCAGTGTTCAAAGCACCGCAGCTGCCTCTCTCCATTGCAGCAGAAGGCTAACTGTCCCCCTCTTGCCCCCAGAGGGAGATGGCCTGCTTGTTATCTGTCACCAATCACACATCCTTGCGCCTTTCCCAGGGTGGCATTTGTTGGCTTTATCTGTCAGCATGTAATTTCTTGCAGTGAGTCACTACCCCTGGGAGGCTGTGGTTGGTGCCGTTAACCTCAGGAACTTGAGGCTCTGCCCACCAGCAGGGCAATGGGAAAAGAGGAAGGGCAGGAGGAGGCAGGCGAGTGGGGAAAGACCCCATCGCCTGCTCCTGTGCATAAGGGGCTTGCTTTGAAGCAGTAAATCACAATGGCACTATATTAACGAACATGGCTGACTGAGACAAACTCACACCGCATCGTTAGGTGGGCAGCGTGGATAGGCCAGGAGACCGTTTACAACGGGCCACACTTCAGCACACCAGTGAGAGCAGAGAAATCCCTAGGCCAGACTCTCTAACGGCAGCCAGTGGCATCAGGAACTTAATGGGCTTTCCAGCCTATTTGGCTGATGCCCACTTTCCTTTCATCCCACAGGCTACACGTAGACAGAAAGATTTGGGCCAGCAAACTTCAGGGAAAATTTTGTTTTACTTCTCTGATATTGTTCTTGACATGATGAGAACCATGTCTGGTAAATGTGTGGGCTTTGTTTGTTTATTTGAAGGGGTGTTTTTTTTTTATTTGACCACAGTTCTTTTTTAAAACCATTTAAAAAAAAAAAAAAAGCTTATCCTTATGAATAATAAGTATGTGATAACAGTTTCAAAAGACTTCAGTCTGGGATCTGTGCCCTTTCCGATAGGTGCTTTATATAACCTCTTATATATGCAGGCTAACACGTATAATCTAATATAATCTAATATGTATTCGCAATATGTACTCAAAATGACATTGATCTTTCCTTATGTCCTAATATGAGACTCTACTTTTCTCTTATGCCTTTTTTCCAAAGTGAGTCAGTCAATAACGGAGGGCAGAGAGCATTAAATAATTCTTTTTTGGGCATGTTTAATTATTATTCACAATAATAATATAGTATGCAGGGAGAAAAGCATACACCACTACAATATTTCTTATTGCTTTCCGGTCAAAAGCTCCCAAGATATAAATGCTGGGGAAGAGACAGGAAGACAGTTACCAAAGCTTCACCCGCCTTGCAAACCCTGCTCAAAGAGTGAAGTGTGGTTGTAATGACAGAACTTACTTTGTGATTTCTCCCAGGCAGTTTCTTCTCTTGTTTGCTATTTGAATGCTTATTTTTAGAACTCCACAAAAAGAATTTTTTTGGCCTGGGATCCCTGTGGAATAAGATTTACACAACTGTGGTGCCCAGCAACCCCACACCCTCCCACCTTTTGAAGTCATCAGCAAAGGAGCAGGAATCTCAAGAGATATTACATTTCTACCTGTTTTGTAAAAAATGGTAGCCGGTTAAGGGAGAGAGACTAAAATTGTCCATCTTTCTGAGGAGAAAGGTTGCAGAGAGAGCTCAGACATATTATTAAATATCAGAGCTCATACAAGAAACCAAACCTCCTAAATTCTGTTGCTTACAGACCTACTTCACCTTGGTGTTATCGCTTTCCGTGTCTTTGCGTTGCAGAGCCTGTGGAACCATTAGGCTGGCAGCTAGCACCCTCCGTAAAAGCACTGCAGGTAGAAGAACTGCTGAGAGGCCTGCCACATGCCCGGTCCTACACCATACCCAGGACATCTGCCTTCAGCTCCTGGCTTTGTCATGGGCTCCTTGCGTCACCTCAGCAATTGCTTTTCTTGGGAGGGATGGGAGTGGGGAGAAGCACAAAATGCTGCTGGTGATACCCCAGAGCAGAATGGGGACCATGCTGGCAAAGGGATGCTCGGGAGAGCATCGGCGTCAGGTGCACCCACCCGCTGCCCTGGGCAGGTGGGCAGCAAACAGGGTTCCAAGGCAGGACGGCCAAGGGAGGTGAGGGACCAGCAGGGAGAGGCAGCAGATACTGGGGCATTTTAGAGCTTCAGTCTCATTTACTCCACCAGCAGCCACCAACCAGCATGGTGAGTTGTGCTCCCCCATCTGCAAAGTAAACACGTGAGAGAACAACAGAGAGGTGTTTACTGTACATCGCCAAGTATAGTAGACTACAGAGGATAAAAATATCCAGTGGAAAAACACATGGGCTTAAGTAAAACTTTAACTCTCAGGGGCTGCCCAGCCAGCAACATGTGTATCCTTCACAGGCTGTCCTGCTTGCTGAGGTCTTTGAAGCTCCCTAGGAAAACTCCAGCACTTTTTGATTAGTGGCTTCTCCACCCTAACCCCTGATAATTACAGCATAGGCCTGGTTCAGATTAGAAACCCGTTGAATCCAGAAAGGCAAGAGGGAGTGTAGACAGCCCGTGATGCAGGGGGAGCCTAAGACATCCTTTCCACAACCTCCCTGAAACCTCAGCAGTTTCCAGCACACCAGGGGCTCTTGCGGAGAAAAATGGAAACCAAAGCAGGGAGCAGCACAGGGCCTGCCTGTCTTTCCAGCCCAAAAGGACCCATACCTTGGAGAGAGGGCAGGCCAGCAGATGACTTGGTTCTGCTCAGCCTACAGGAGCGGCAGTGTAATTCCTGAACTTTCTGGGCTCTGGCCATAAACTGAGCAGGACAGCAAGGCCCCAGCACTCACCGTGGACTTTGGGCAGGAGTAATACAGTGAAGTCAGCAGATACAGCTTGGAGTCACTCTGGGCCAGAGCTCCCACTGGCATTACTGAAATGAATGGAATTGCACCCGCTGAATTACACCCACTTGAGTTGCATTGGATTGAGGCCCTGGTCGAACAAAACACTTAAGCACGTGCTTAAATTTAAGCCCATGAGCAAACAACTTCAGTGCAAATACTTATATGCTTGAGTGCTTTGCCAGGTAGGTGCTGTTCTCAGCAGCAGACACCTGAAGGGAGGTGGTGCCATTTTTACGTGGTCACTTTTCTGACTAAATCCAAGCCAGAAAGGAAACTTTCCACTGGATTTTGGCCAACAGGCACTTCAGGTATGTGTCAGGTCTTAGAAAAAAAAAATTTAATCTTATCTGTCTCATTATCACTCTGACATTTGCTTTGGCTTTGAGTTTAATTACCTCTTGAATTGAACAAAGGTTCAGATAGGGATGAGATAATAAAAAGTCAGTAAAGCTGATGTATATAGGAAATAGGGCCTCACTGAAGGTGTTAGCCCGTGCAAGCTGACCCCCAGTTATGAGAAAGAAAAGCTGATAAGGGAGAAAGCTATTAATCAATCATTCAGGAAACCTGGGGATGTGTAAAGAGCTGTCTGATGTTTGCATCTTACACACCACCTGGGCTGGTACAAATACACCAGACCCCACTTAGATAAATACCTGTGCATCAGAGCAAAACCAGGCAAACAAAGGGAAACCCTGGGGGGGAAAAAAGAAGATGGAATAAACAAGGGAAATAAATATATATATTGCCAAGAAAGCCAGAATTCAGAGTAGGAAATCGCACAATGGAAAGGATGCATTATCGGGTATCAGCAGTTCTAGCAGAGATCAGGACCCTCACGATGTTCCAGGCACACAAAGTGAGCAACCCGCAGTCTCAGCCTCAGAGACATTTCAGGCCAACAAGACAAAGGCCGAGAGGGAAAGCAGGTCACAGACACTTGCCTAACACCACACTGGGTGAGCAGCAAGGGCTAGGAATAGGATTAAGAGATTGTGATTTCTGGGTGCCACATGAATAAGGGATGGACCGGACTCATTGCCACACGGAGCACGTTTGCGCCACTGGCCTGTTACAGAGACCCTAGTGTTTCTAGGACAGTTTTATTCTGTAGTCAGATTTTAGAGGCTTCCTGACACAGCAGGTCACAAAGTCCACTTTTTCATGAGCTTACGTCTTGCTTCTCAGTCTGTTTCAGGAGTGGGTTCCAGCTGGCTAAACAGAAGGGATGGATGACTGCGAATTACATCAGCAGAAGACAGAATAGTTCAAAGCGTGAGGCTAGACCCACTGGCTAAGACTGTGCTTTTGCAACTGGCTCTTTGCTAAAGCTGATAAAGAGAAGAGTAGAGTCCTCAGCAAATCAGAAACTGAACAGTAACTCCAAGGTGCTATCCATGCACAATTTTCCTGCAATGATCTGACCACAAGACAAGGTTATGGTGCCCATTCAAAATCCACCCCTCAATGAGAAAAATGTACTTTTGAGAGTGCGCTTTGGAAAAATCCAGCTGACATTTTTGTTTTGACTTTATCAAACAAATGAAACAAAAATACAACCTTGTCAAAACAAAACATTAATTTAATTTTGATTTCATCAGCTTGACCCATGTCATAGCATACTTTAGAGTCAAAACAGTAAGATTGTTATGCAATGACCCGTCCTAATATTATGGCATGCCAATTAAATAGACAAAACTTTAAGACTTTTATGCTATATTATAAAAGTCAAAACAAATGTTTCAATAAGCCAGAAAGACTTGTACCTTCTTTGAAAACACTGTCAGAATCGACACCTCGTCTGCCTCCTCCCAGGCCATAGATTCCCCAGAGACACGTGGTATGCATAGCCCTTGATTTTCTGAGAGGATCTGTCAGCTCTTCTTAGTGAGAGAGGGCAGCCCTTAGCATCACTATGGAGTCACAAGCAGAGCTACAATGGAGGATACCAAACCCTGCAGATTCAGCCCCTGCAGCTACCTCTCCCACACATCCTTAGGTGCTCCTTGGCACCATGTCATATGCTATCACCTGGATGGCAGGGACATCTAGATGCTCCACACTTGTATTAAGACTTGTGCAGGCATGGTGCAAAAAACATGTGGTTTAAAAGAAATGGCAGTGTTACGACCTTGACCATGGTGTAGCCTTCAACAGCACAAAAAGCTGACATCTCTGCTGCCTGTGGACCTGTTAAAACAGGGAGATATTCTACAGTAAGTGGGCAAGACTAACAGGTGAATGAAATGCAGAAAGTATCAGGAGAGGTGCTCATGTGCAAGAATAGCAGTATCTGTTGACCAAGGTTCTCAGCAGGCACTATGACACTGAGGTATCAGTATCAAAGGCTTATTCTCTCTGGAAAACATAGCAAAGTGTGAGTTTTAAGGAAGAATTGGAATAGTAGCCCTCCAGGTATATCCCATTCCATCTTGGCTTTGAAATGGGATGAGAGAAAACATGTCTACTCAAATAGGAAGCTAATGAATAGCCAAATGAAGAAGGGCATGAAGGTTAATGGTAGTAGAGGACAGCATGGCAGGTGTGCTAGAAATAAGGCAGTGAATGACTAAGTCAGGATTGGCCTTTAGGGAAAGGACAAGCTTGTGTGCAACACTGTGGTGAAAGGATGTCCAAAAGAAGTTATGATGGAAGCTCACTGGAGATAATTGACTGAGCTGGTGCAGCTGCATAAAAGAGAGGAGGCTGCAGTCAGGATAGAAGAATGAATTTTTGCTGTGCAAAGAAGGGAGGTTAATTCTTAGGGGGACTGCAAAAGGAAAATCTGTAAATGTCAGAGATGCCCTGAACATAAGCTGAGATGATTCTTGGATGGGTTGGGGGTTGCATGATAATGAGTCTTTGGGCAAGTATGCCTTATCGACTTAATAATACCATTTACAATTATATACCTTGATATAGATTAGGACTGTACTTTCCAAGACAATATCTGGGAAATAGGAAAGTACCACAAAGGGGACAGATTTAGAAGAGCTCTAAGCTCGTGAGAACACAGGATTGCTTCCAGCAAGCCATAGACTCTTGATGACTGTTGCACTAGGACTGGAGGAATGGGAGGATCCAGCTCAAGGCAAGAAGCAAGAAAGATATCAGAGCCTGCTTTTAGGGATCAATACCTTATACAAAGGAATTCAAAAGGCTGGAAGAAACAGGAAAGCTTGCTGGAAGAGCTTTGCCATCTGCCAAGGGCACTGAAATCCAAGGATCTCCTAAGACCTCAAGGGCCCCAGGAGGACAGAAAAGTCACATGCAAGTGTTTGCTGTTTTACCTGTGTCTGTTGGCCCCTTGTACTCTTTTGTAGAAAGTTTCTCTGCAAAGTCTGTGTTCCTTGCTTTACTGGACGTGTGTCCCTAAAGAGAGAAATCGAGGCTGCTCAGTCTATATTCTGAAGGCTATCTTACAGCCTGCCACGTAAAATCCCTTGGGCTGTAGGCCATTCCTGGTCACCACCTTTCGTGGGGGCAATTCAGGAAGAGGCTGCATGTTGGCTGAATTGCTCTGGCAGTAACATACCATTCCCATATGTCATTTTCTGGGGCAGAGCATGAGGGCTGGTGGTGTAAGAGGCCTGTCCTCCCTCATAATAAGGAGGGACTCAAGGCCCCAGGAAAGATGTGCAGAAATCAGCTGATTTGCCTTGCAAGTCAGAGAGGGACTGCATGGCTTCTTGGCATCCCTTGCTATTTTCTCAGGTTGTCAAAAGTTACAAAGTGCATCAGGTCGGACTAGAGGCTCATTTACCACAGTAATCACTTTCAACCCAGTAGGAAATGCTTAGGGAAAGCATATTAGACGCTTTCCATTAGACCAGAATGTATCAGAACAGAGTCATCTCTCACTTCAAGTAGCCTTTGAGCTTCCAGCAACCAGCATTGAAGGGTTTTCTTGAGTTGGGCACTGCCTCAAGAGTTCAGTGGCACTTATGCCCTAAGTGCCTCCTGACCCTCTCTGAACTGTCTGCCACCGTGATACCCCCTGGGAGAGCCCCATCTCAGGCTGATAGGACTCTTGCTGTACCGTGGGAAAGCTCTGAAGACTGCACAATTCTGCCCTACAGAGGCTTGGGCCACCCAGCAGAGTCCTATGGTGCCATCACAACCCATCTCCTCCCAGGGACAGGACCCTTCCTTGCAGGCAGGTGATCTGGGCTGAGGAAATGAGTTCCTCACCTTTTCATTTCCTATCTTGTGAGAGACTGACTAACCATCCTCACCGAACCTCGGTTTTTGAGATGTGATTTCCATTAGGACTACTCTGTCTTCCAGCACTTTGGGTTTTTTGTTTGTTTGTTTGCTTGTTTTGCTTTGCTTTGTTTCTGATGCCTTATGCGCTTTGCACAAAAAAGAAAAAAAGAAAAAAAGAAAAAAAGAAAAAAAGAAAAAAAGAAAAAAAGAAAAAAAGAAAAGAGAAAGAGACAATGCACACAAACCCCTGGCTTTTCCAGCCCCTAGTTTCTTTCAGTGGTACCAGATGTTCTCCCACAGTGGCATTCTGGCTGGTGGCTCTTGGCTTGACTGATGCGTTCCACTCCAGTAGTTCCTCCTTCAGGCACAGCTCAGTTGTTGGCTCTCAGATGCCTAGGTCTGGCACGTCTCTTAACTTCCACTACTGAGGAAAGAGAGCATGGCAGTGCTGAAGGCACTCAAAATAAAAGGAGAAAAATTAATAGGCAGGATATTTTAAAGACCATAAGTAATACGATGAAGAAAATTTTAGGAGCAGGAAGCAGTCTTACCCTGACCTTTCTCTGTCAGATAGAATTACTTTTATAAATTACTGAATTGCTAAAAGCCTATACAGGCCTGCCACCGGCTAACTAAAGAAAATGGCTTGGGCTCAGTCCTTCAGGACTGATCCACAAGCAACATATGTCCCTGCAGCTAGGTAGGAAACATTTCTCACGGCTTCAGAGGATCTTGAATTCAGCCCTTCACAACGTTACTGTGGAATCCTGAGCGTAAATAGGAGCGATGGTCCTGGGCTGCCCATCAAATAAGTCCCTTCCCTGGTTCAAGTCACATGCAGCTGCTCTTGTTTCTGTGAACTGCAGAGTAACTGCTGGTGAAAAGGACATCCTCTTGCACTGGCCATCTACCCCCTTGGAAAATGACACCATCTCATGAAATGTAGCCATCATGCTCACATTCCCAATGATGGAAAATGAAGCCAAAAGCAATGAATTTTATTTTATCTTTATTTCCCTCCACTTTTGTGTTTCTGAGCATTCAGTTGTTTGGCCTGGCTGATGTCTGGCTTGTAGGTTGAGTAATGCTGCTCTAGTCCATTCAGGGCCCTGGAGAGATGTTCCCACTTATTGCCCTATTGTCCCAGGGATGAAGGAAGTGGGTTTTATTCATGAATGCACTTACAAGCATCCTGGTGGTTGGAACAAACTGCACGTCTAGCTAGACTAAAATAAAACTTGAAGAACATTTTTGCTTCTAGAAATCCTTAGTCAAGGTTTTAAGGAATAGTTTATCTTTGAGTACCTTTTTTCAAGGAAGTGAGGCAGGCTTTAAATCTCCTTTGCGACATGAAGCTTAAACTATAAAGCTTCTGGGCAGCCTGGAGGGAGATTTATTCTCTTCCAGGTTTTCACATTGGTCTCTTGGATGGAAATTAAAGTATGCAGTTCCTATGCTTTCACCAGGTAACTCCTTGGGGAGTTACACCCAGTACAATGATGTCTGACTAGAAAGCGCTGAAAACACCAAAGACTAACCAGCAAAGAGTCACCCACTTTTCTGGATTATATGAGCAGAAATGTGATGGAATACAGCCGGTATCACAGCAGAACTGACCAACAGGTACATATAGATATACAGATATACAGATATACACACACATACATAGGTGTATATATATATATATATATACACGCGCACACACAAATGTTTTGTAATGATTGGAGAAGATAATAAAGCACATGTACACTAGGGTATTTTAGCCAATAAGGAGGCTAATTTGGTAAACCAGATAGTCTATGTGCACGCAGGAGCTCCTTGCCTTCTGCATTATCACTCAGATACCTCCTGTCTTCCTGTCGTTCACATACATACCAAGAAACACAAGTTGTAAACAGGTTCAGTTGCTAAGGCTCATGCCTCTCTCTCCGTCTGGAGCGCTTTGCGGTTTTTGGCACACGTCCAATTGCCCTCCAGCCTCCCGCTGCCCTGGCACTTGGAGCAGTCTGTCAAGGTCACCTCCGTGCTCCTGGGCCACACAGTGTGAGTGCATGCAGCCGTCCCTCTCATGCTAGGCCTACTGACCAGCCCCTGGCGGGTCAAGCATCCACCAGGCCGAGAAGATCTTAGCCCTACCGAGCTAGACTGTATCTGTCTGGATTCCTTCTGCATCTCCCATTTCTGGTGTCCTCCCTCCTTTCTTCCTCCTGCCGAGATGCCATCTAGTCTGCCTAGGAACAGCAGGAGGGGACATTGCTGTCCATCAAATAAAAACCTCGGAGCTATAGTTTGTAGACATTATCCACTGCTCTGTCTTGGAAGCAGCACTTTAAAACATACCACTGTGTGCTCAGGCAAGTGGAGACAAGAAGACCAGTGCATGAGCAGCCTTAGCAATACCAGTTATTGACACTGTAAGGTGCTCTTTGCTTTGTCACATTTTCGTGCCAAAAGTTGAATTCAGCTGTGGGAAACATGTCAGCATTTATCCCACTCCACTGTAAAAAAACAGAGCTATGATAAATATTGTTTCTGATTACAGACAATTATGCATTGTTGCTTTGGTTCGGTTTTTCAAGTTGCCTTTCGGCTCCCATAGCAAGGTTTGGAGGGGCCAGTAATAGCTTTTATTGGACCAACTGATAAAGGCAGAAAAAACACACAAGCTTTCAGACACCGCTTAGGAGGACATATATGGACAAAAGTTCACTTGTTTTTCTCCACCCATAACGTGTGGTCCAGTAAAAGCTGTACTTCTCCCTATGTCTCCTACCTCATTTAAGCCCAAATACCTGCCACAACACCACAACCGCTCTCATCTCCCAAGAGATGCCCAAAATGTGCAGCGTCTGGAGTGAGTGGTTTTCCCCTTTTGCAGGACTGCAGGATCTGGCATTTGTTTTTCAGTGGGGCTCCTTGCTAATGGCCACACGGTCGGCCTGGTGAGTGGTTTCCTGGGACACAAAGGCACTCGGAGGAAAATGAGAAGCCAGGAGCCCACATCCAGCTCATGCTCACAGCATGGTGGTCCCACGGGTAGTCAGGCCACCCCGAAGATTGTGCAGTGGTGCTGCTCCTCCCTGTTCTGAACTGCTGCAAAGCATCTAAAAGCATGCACAGCTACCTCTGCTTTTGGTTGTGGTTCTGCTTTGGCTTGGTATCTCTCCCGCTTTAGTGGTCTGCAGAGAACGCACAAGCAGCCCCATGTTGTGGCAGTGCAAAGACCAGACAGAGCACTCATGCAAGTTCCCCTTAATTCCCATAAGTGCTAGCAAAAGGTCAGCCCCCAAGAAATGAAAAGTGACGGGACAAAGCTCTGCCATAGGCTTCTGCACCCAACTGTGTTAAATCAGTCACCATCTCTTGGTGCTACCCCTAAACACTCTTCCACCCCCTAAGGTACTCTGTCCTCTGTTCTCCTGACCCCATAAACACCCTGTTCTTGCTCCAGCCTCCCATTTGCCTAAGTGCAAGGTGCCTTCCCAGGGCTGGTTCACCAAGACATGACCCTCTCCTCTTTTGCCAGCTCATTTCTACACTGACATGGCAAAGTGGCTCAAAAATGCCCACACTAGCGAGCAAAGACAGTTCAGTCCTTTCTGACTCCAGAAGCCCATGGGACAGGGCTCCCTAGCATGGGCATGGTAAGAAAGCCAATGGAGAGCGTTGCATCTGGCTCCAAGCTCACAGGTCCCTCACAGCACCATGTTGTACCAAGCAGACTTACCTACCTCGGTATTTCTGCACCAACCTCCACTTCACGGTACCTGGAGACATGGGCAGCATCACAGTTGCTGTGGCAGCCTCCCCCACTGACTCAGCTACCCCTCCACCAACACTTGCCCAAGGCTGCCCAGCCACTGCTCGCTGTCAAGGCAGGAAGCTGCCCTGCACGCCTGTGGCCCCTCCACCTCACTGCAGATCAAGCCCACGCAAAAAAACTGCCTTGCTGCATATAGCTCCACATGCCGCCTCTGCTCAGGCCCCCTGTGCGGCAGAGACACATTGGCACCACTGCTATTCAGGTCTCCTGTGCTCAGTGCAGAGAAGGGGGGAGGTGGGGGAAGAGGCTTTGGGCCCCCATAAGCTGCATCGCAGCCTGTGAATCAGATGTCTTGCTAGTTCATATCCATCTCAAATACAGCATCCTTCCCACTAAATTATAACACAGCGGGGAAGGACGTTGACCAGCATAAAAGAAATTTAAAGTTGCAATTGACATTTATGCTTGAGTTCCAGTTTTGCGATACAAATGGCTCGGTGACTCTCAGCATGGAGCTGGTCTTTGGCTATGCATTTCCCAGCCTTTACAGGTTAGGTTATAGGGAAAAAAAAGAAAAAAAATTTTAAATTGTTCTGCCTTTTTATTTAGAAGCTTGGCTTCTCAAACGTCCCAGACTTTAGGTATCCGTTCCTCTCTTCAAGTAAGAAGGTGCTTGTTCGGTCTGGTCTTTTGTAGATCACTTTCCCAAGCCACCAGGTTAGGGGGAGAATGATCCCCACCGGCAGCCGGCCCTTGCATTGCCTCAAAGCGAGGATAAGGCCAGACAGGGTGTAAGAAGTCTTTAGTGATTCACAGTGGTAACTTTTGTCCTTCAAGTGCTTTCTTCCTCAGAGAAAGCTGTCTGTCTGCAAGTAAGACCTCAAGCCCTCCAGCCTCCTCTCTAAAACACCTCAGAAAACATGCTTAGAACTGTCATTTGGAGAGGGAAATTTTACATCCTCTGTGGACTTTAATTTTTATAAATTCAACCTTTCTTAACTTGCACAAATACAAAAAATAGCTCTCCCACCAGCAAACCTATTTATTTTTTAAATGCACAGCTCCAAAATAACTGAAACAATGCATTTTTTTTTAATGTAAGAAAAAAAGTATAAAACAAGGCTGAGGCTGTTTGCTAAGAACAGTTTCATAAAAGGACAGTTCTAAAGGCCTGAAAATAGATTTTTATAATTGGAAGTGCCTGCAAGGGCCTAAGTATAGCAGGCTTTATTACAACTCATCTACCAGGTACTTAGGTGCTGTTCTCAGAACCTGCCATTAGCCAGGTCTGTTGAACAGGGTGCACAATCATTTTTTATGAAAATGCTGGCACAAGTTCACACGCACCGAAGGTGCTGAGTCTTTGATCCCCAGTGCCAGGCAGATCCTTGAAAATGTCACAGGGTGATTCATGGGCCCAAGAAAAGAGAGATCTTCTGCTGAAGAAAAGCAGGTGTAAGGCAGCTCCTAGCTAGATTTTGTTCTGGTGGAGCAGACCCCTAATGGTGGGGGTGCTGGGAGATAGGCTTTGCAAAGTAGGATGCTCAACTCCTGCCATGGGGTAGAGACCAGCTTGCCAGAATTGCTCAGTCTAGGTGCTGGCTTTCCCTTTCGTGCAGGAGACAGACTGTTTTTCGCCTGACGTTTGCAAGCCTCGTTTT